CCAGGAGTCACTCTGTTACAGTACGTTGATGGCTTGCTAGTAGCCGCTGAGGACTATGAGTCATGTTTGCGGGGCACGAGAGCTCTCTTATAGACTGCAGGAAAAAGGGTATGGGTGTCAGCAAAGAAAGCACAGCTCTGTCAGAGCCATGCCACTTATCTAGGCTTTGGTCTCCACAAGGGAGTGCGTTCACTGTCTGAGTCCAGGAAACAGGTGATCACCCGATACCCCTGCCCCACCATGTCCCAACAAGTGAGGGAGTTTCTTGGGATGGTGGGCTACTGTAGGTTGTGGATACCGCGGTTTGCAGAGATTGCCTGACCTCTCTACGAACTGGCAAAAGGAGGGCTCACTATGATAGAGTGGACAGCTGAGGCAGAAGGAGCATTTTGGGAATTACAAACAGCCTTACTGAGTGACCCAGCATTGACCATCCCAGATGTTACCAAGCCCTTCCACTTGTATGTGGATGAAAAAGCAGAGGTGGCCAAAGGAGTTTTAACTCAGACTCTGGGGCCTTGACAAAGGCCAGTAGCCTATCTTAGCAAGAAACTAGATCCAGTAGTGGCTGGGTTTCCCTCTTGCCTCTGTATAATTGCTGCCATGGCCCTCCTGGTCAAGGATGCGAGTAAACTGAATTTGGGTCAAAATCTCATCTTGACCACCACCCACGCTATCGAGGGCCTTCTCCGGACTCCACCCGACTGATGGATGATGAACACCCAAGTGACAGGGTATCAGGCCCTCCTCCTCAATGAACCAAGAGTGACCTTCCAGCCCCCAGTGGTGCTAAACCCAGCCACACTGCTGCCAGAGGAGCTGGCTGACCATCCACATGACTGTGGGGAGGTCCTAACCCAAGTCACAGGAATAAGGCCGGATCTCAGAGACATTCCCCTCCCGGATGCCAAGATGACTGTTCACAGATGGGAGTAGCTACATGGTCGATGGAAAAAGGTATGCGGGGGCTGCGGTGGTTTCTCCTGAGCAGGAACTCTGGACAGCAGCCCTGCCACATGGAACTTTGGCACAAAAAAGCGGAACTGATTGCACTCACTAAGGCACTGCAGATGGCCAAAGGTAAAACCGCCAACATCTATACAGACAGCAGGTATGCCTTTGCTATTCTCCATATACATGGGGCTATTTATAAAGAAAGGGGCCTATTAACAGCAGGAGGAAAAGGAATTAAAACAGAGGAGAAATATTGGCTCTCCTCCAGGCTATTTGGGACCCAAAAGAAGTGGCTGTTATGCATTGCTCGGGACACCAAAAGGGGACTGATCTGATTTCAAAAGGAAACCAATTAGCAAATCAAGCCACAAAGGAAGCAGCCCAAGAAACAGTGCAAGAGCTGGTTACACTCCCGGCTCTAGCCCTACCAGAAGAACCGGACTATTCAGAGGAAGATTTAAAGTAGTTACAAAAATGGGCTAAATTAGACTACGAAGGGGACTGGGCTAAGACTAAAGCAGGAAAAATAATTCTTCCTCGAAGACTAAGTAAGAAGTTAGTAGACCAGACACATCAGGGTACTCATTTGGGGATACGCAAACTCAAGGACCTTATAGGCAAGCAATTCCAGGTTTCTAAATTAGGGCGTATGGTTCAGGATGTAGTTGATAGATGTGCTCAAAGCCTGGCAGTTAATGTGGGAAGAACTAAAATGGGAAGAGGGAAAAGAGAAAGAGGTAAGGAACCAGGAATTTATTGGGAAATAGATTTTACAGAAATGAAACCCAGAAATATGGGCACAAATATATGTTAGTTTTTGTAGATACCTTTTCAGGCTGGGTAGAGGATTTTTCCACCAAACATGAGACGGCAGGAGTGGTAGGCAAAAAAGGCTACTAGAAGAAATAATTCCTAGGTTTGGGCTGCCTCTCGTGATTGGGTCAGACAATGGCCCTGCATTTGTGAGCTCAGTCTCACAGACATTGGCCAAGGCCATGGGCACAAATTGGAAACTACATTGTGCCTATCGGCCCCAGAGTTCTGGGCAAGTAGAGAGAATGAACCAGACTCTTAAAGAGACCTTGACAAAACTAATTCTGGAGACTGGTGGTGGAAGGGTGGATCTCCTTCCTTTCACCCTCCTCAGAGCATGATATACACCCTATTTAAACAGGGTGACCCCATTTGAAATAATGTTTGGGAGACACCCCCCCCCCCACTCTGTCCTCGGCTATAAGAGGTTGCCCTAGCAGAAATTACTGATCAGTCTGTACTCCAGTCACTGCAGGCATTATAGTCAGTCTTAAAAAAAGCCCATGCAGGGATCTGGACTGCCCACACTGGGATGGAGATGGAGGTGGAACCACATCCTTACCAACCCGGGGACTTGATTTGGATATGTCGCTATCAAGTGGGAAATTTGGAGCCTCGCTGGAAGGGGCCGTTTACTGTCATCCTGACCATCCCCACAGGGATAAAAGTAGAAGGCATCAGGGCCTGGATTCACGTGGGTCATGTCAAACGAGCCAAGGACGAAGACGCCCCCCAGAGGTGGAAGCCTCAGCCAATGGACCCCGTTGACTATGGACTAAAGCTAAGACTCAAAAGACTATGAGTATATTGTTGCTCCTATTATTACCTGTTTATGTAAAGTATAGGTAGGAAATTAGATGAAAGAAATTAGGAAAAAAATGGAAAAGGTTCTATGAAGTGGTAAATGGCTAACTCATCAGCCGACTGTGCACTAGTGTCATTTGTACAAAAGAAAACTAGAGCAATAAAAATGTTAGACTTAACATGCTCAATATAACCCTTTACAACCAGAGAACATAGAACTGGCTGAAAAGTCAAGGATTTGACTAATCTCCAAAGAAAAGGGAGGAATGTAAGGGCCTGGTTGGCCAGAGAGAGTCATTTTGCGTTTATGTAGTGAACTTAGATTGACCCTATGCAGTAAACTTTGACCCTGCCTCTCCCAGAGGAACTTACTTGCAAAGCCTAGATACAGGGGTGGGTCAGGCCAGGTGAAGATGTCCAATCAGTTGGGCACGCATATATCTACTAGGGTAAATTGAAATTCAATTGGCCACCCGTGTGTTACCTAGCAATTTTTTTTCTGTGTGTGGCAGACTTAGCATGACTGTGTAGTTTTCTCTGTGTATTGCAATCTCATTGGCCACCTGTGTATAGCCCGGCTAAACTACCTCTATAAAAGTTGGTTCGTGAGGCTGGGAGGGATCGCCTCTTTGCAAGAGATGGCCCTGACCGGTCAGTTTAATTCTCGATGCTTGGTGTGAAATAAAGCTTTGCTTGACCTTCACTTTGTATCAGTCTCGCTCCTTTGATTATGGACCCTAACACCCACTCCCCAACAGTTGTGTTTTAACTAAACGGGAACAGCTAGGAGCTTGTTGGAAAGGTAAAACCTCTGGCCCCATCTGGGACCTAACATACTAGAATCAGTACTTTATGAAGTACATACTAAAGTTTAAGAAGCACTGGTCTAAGCTACTTCCTGGCACTTTTATTCCTGGAAGAAACTATGTCACAGTCCAGCCTGTGACTGTTAATATATGTGAATGTCCTTTACAGAAGTATGATGTACTTTTGCAACTGGAAGTATTCTTTGAATAATTACCAACTAAATTGTGTACAAAATAAGAAGTCCTTGAGTAACTAGCTTCCTTGGTCCCCTTCATTTTCAATCCTTTGAGATTCATCCTGCTCCTTTCTCCTGATTTCCTGGAAATTTCCTTAGAATCCAGAGAAATCCTGCTCACCATGGAGAAGCTTACACACACTCAATTAAATGCCTGCTGTGTATAATGAAGAATAGTGTTAGGTGCAGCAGGGGCCATAGAAATTCAAAGGCTATTTGGCTCTCAGGAAACTTTTTATTTAGTTGGAAGGGCATAAACATTCAGAGTAAAATTAATTTTAAATCTTATATTTGGGTAGTTCTTTGTCATCTACCATCACCTCTTCTGAACCTCTCCAATAATTCTGTGATGTTGGAGGAAGTGATTATTAGACTTTTTTTTTTTTTAAGATAAAGAAGTCAGATCCAAAGATATGGAGGGATTTATCAATGCCATATGGCTGTTAAAAACCTGGAGTATGTGTCCCTGTCTTCCAGCTCAAAGTCCAGGCTGTTTTCTCTTTAAAACTATTGTGCTGCACTATACTCTCTAGTACCAAATTAATTTAAAATAAAGAAAATGCGGTATAGGATTGCAAAAGTTTAATGTGGTAGTTAAGGAGAGAAATCATTTGAAAGAGTGACGGAAGGATTTAGCAGGACTTTGAAAGATGAGCAGAATATACCTGGACAAAGAAAGGAGATGAGCAATCCAAGAAGAGGGACAAGAGGCAGAAAAGCAAAGTCTGGTGAAAGAATAATGATTAGACCAGAGTTCTTGGTCTATTTGGAAACTGGGTCGTTTCAATCCAACCGAATGAGGCATCAGAATTTCCCAGGTGTGGGAATCATTGTTTAGGGTAGAGGGACCACAGTGGTTCCTTCTTTCCTTTGTATTCTTGCACAGAACCCACCGTGTGGAGAGTCAGGGAGTCATGACTGTAATCTCTAGCTGGTAGGGCATAAAGGTAGGAGTTTCTCGGTCAGGTTTTGTTTGATAGACTATCACACTTACTTTTTAAAGGCATTGTATTACCTGTTTTAGATAGTTGAGAGCAGCTTCTTTCACCTTAGGGAAATGTGGGTAGATGGTGTTTAGGACCACGGAAAAATAGTGAACGTCAGAAAGTGGTTGACATCAAGGTCAATGAGAAATGAGAGCATTAGAAGGGCCAGGAACAAACCCTGGAGATTATAAAGGTGATTTTTAGGGGTGCACAGGTGCCAAGATCTGGATTGGTTTAGACCAATAAGGAAGTGGAGTCTGATTGGACCACCTACCTGGGTGGGATCTGGCAACTCCCCAACAAGCACCTGAAAGACTAGGCTGGGCCTGCCATTGTGACGTGGTCCAGCTAGCCTCAGCTTAAGCTCGCACCCTGGTGGGGGAGGCCCAAAGCACTGGCCCCGCAGGAGCGGGAGCGGGGCCATGGCTGAGGTGGCTGGGCCCATTGGTGAATCCAAAGGCACTGAAGTTAAAACCCAGCCGGCCACGGAAAAAGCCCTCATGGCGCCGCTGAGGCGGGCCCCGCGCTCGGTGCTCAAAGTGTCCCAGCTTTTGCTCAGAGCCATCACTGCGCACAAAGGGCTGACTCTTGCCACTCTCAAGAAGGAGCTTGGAAACGCTGGCTACGAAGTGCGCAGGAAGTGCTGTCGCCACTTGGGTGAAGCACCCAGGTCTGATGTTAAGGGAACGCTTCTCCGGGTCAGTGGCAGCGATGCCTCTGGCTACTTCAGGATCTGGAAGGTTCCGAAGCCCAAGAGAAAGCCAGGACGCTCGAGGTTGGCGGAGAGTGTGCGCTCTTCAAGGAGGACCTTTCCTGGGCCGCGGAGCCCACGGAGGCGCTGCACGCATCGCAGGGCAGCCAAGAAGGCCAGGGAAGTATGGAGACGAAGCACGAAGGCAAACACAAGGATGAGGAAGATAAGGCCAAGAGCCAAGGAGTCGGTGCGTTCCAGAGCCAGGGAGGAAGTGAGGGCCAAGGCGATGGATGAGGGGAGAGGACGGGCCATGAAGGAAGACATCAGGCCTAGAACCCGAGAGGAGAAGAGGTCAGGCCCGAAGCCCAGGGAAGAGAAACAGCAGGACCCGGTGAAGCCGGCAAAACGCACCATCCAGAAGACAGCCTTGGTTAAAACTGACCAAAATTCTAGCAGTCAGGGGAAGAGTTATGACCTAAGGGCTGCTCGCACAAAGACTTCCACTAAATCTGAAAGTCTTCGGAATGCAGCCGGGTATTCCTAGTGTGGGAGCAATTTCCCTTCCTCCAGGCACAGATGCCTTTTCCCCCAGGCTCTAATGAGAACAGCTCTCACAAACCGAAGTGGACAAAACTATATACAAGACCTTTCCACTACATTGTGTCTGTTTCCTCTTTGCCGCATCTGGAGGGGAAAGGGTGGGTGTTGAGGGGAGACCTATAACAGGCATATAGGGTGAAGAGACAGAAAGATGCGGAGATTCTGTTCCTGCTTCAGGCCCCAGGACAATGCCTTTCAGAAGGAAAAAAAAAAAAAAAAAACAGGTAGAAGAAAAGCAGCAACTTGGGGAGGGGGCATTAGATGTTAAGTGTTGAATTAATGTTAGACACCTAATCAAATCCAAATTGAGTTTCGGGGAGAAGGGCATGTAAAGAGAGAAGTTGGGCCATCGTTGGGGGAAGAGAAGAATAGACAACTCTAAGCTGAGTAGTCCCTCTGAACTGAAATTCCTTTTAGGAAAAAGGCTCTTTTCCCAAAATTGATTGTAATGGATTCGTAGTTTTTGCCTGACTTGATAATATTATTTTAACTGTAAAACTTTCTTATTATGACAACCGTAAGTTAAATGAGTGTGTGAAAACATCTAGTACAGGGCTTGGCACAAGGTAGGTGCTCATTACTGAGAGTTAACTAAGAGTATAAATAGTTTGTGATGGTGTGATAATGTGCTATAGCAGAAAACTATACTGGATCAGTGCTTAATGAGATCAGGATTCTAGTCAAAGTTCTGCCACTCTGATGTTGGCTGAGTTGTTTCTTAACTGTTTATAGTCTTGATCTCCTTCTCTGTAAAAAATGTTGGAATAAGGTTAGGATGGTTTTAGGTGATTTTAAGTGTTAGTAAAATAAGGACTTAAAATATCATGACATAGGCTTTTGACAAATGCAGTGAGAGAATTTTCAACTGGGAAAAATACTAACTCCTACAGAGGAAATTATTAAGATTTATAGAATGCATATCAAAAATATGAGGAGACATGAAGGCTAACTAATGAATAGCTAGGTCTTTTGCTTTCTTAAAAAACAACATGTATTGAGCACCATATATCAAATATAGAGCAAATACATGATTTCTTTTAATTCTGAATGCAGAGATTAAGAACAGCACGGGAATAGTTCTCACGCTAAAGGTCATGACAGGACACAGAAATGGTTCCTAGGGAAGTAAAAACGTCAGAGTTGCTGGTTCAGGGAAATGACTTGCTGTTTCTAGCTGAGGCCAAAGGAGTAGGGCAAAGGAAAGCACTGGGAAGGTGCTTTTCATTCTTATAAAGAGATGAGAGTGATAGTGGGAGGTGGGAATGTGTTGGAACAACCTGGGGAGCTTTTTCAGTGTATCTGACCAAACTTTTCCCAGGAGTCTGATATCTTCTACAAGGGGGAACAGGGTATGTGCATTTACACACACACAAGAACGGAAGGAAGGAAGGGAGGAAGAGAGGAAGGGAGGGAGGGAGGGGAAAAAAGCTAAATGATACTAATATTCGCCCTCTCACACCCTTAAATGGAGTCACTGCTTTAAACCTATGCAGAGCTACTAGCAAAATGCTTGCCATGCATCTCATCTATAGAGGATCTGAACTTTGAAACTTCCCCCTGCTGTAATTAGGGTCACTGTGCACTTAAATTGTCTGTGAGTAGCAGAATGAATCAAATAGAATAAGAGAATAGGGAGCCATCTGAAAAAAGGTAGTGGGAAATATTGGCTACTGAGCACAATTAGAACAAAGTTAATCAGATGTTTTTATGATATCCAGATGTATTGCTCCTTTATGGTCCTGGGAGCTTTTTACCTAAAGGATCAGATGGCCTAAAACTAGAAACCTTTTCTCCTAAAATGGGATGAGAAGGACACTGGAAAATTTTTTTCTAGATTTCCTAAGAATCATCACAGTTCTATTTGTATTGTGATGATTTCTTCATTTAAGCAAACTTCCGTTCAGTCAGTCAGTAAATCTGGCAGATTTGTTAAGTGTCAGACCCTGACCGTATACAGCTAACTGGTCATTTTAGATTATTTTTCATTGGTTAAATTTAGCGTGGCTGTACTCCAGTGAAATACAAGAAAAGACTTTACCTTGTTGGCAAGCTATCCGCATTATCTAGATCATAATGCTAGCTGGGTACTTCTGTGAAAGGAAGCACCAAGAACAGTTAATCTCATCCCAAGTATTCCCTAATGACTAAATGGCTGCAAAATTCTGGGCACTTTGCTGAATGAAGATGGATAAAGCATAATCCCCACTTTTCACTGCTCACATTCTAGTGGCGTGTTTGGGCATTTAACTTTAGTCAGAGCAAATGGAACATTCCTGACCTCAATTCTTTGCTTTCCTTTTATCTCAGCTGCTTCATGTGATGATGATCAGAAAATTGTTGGACTTTAGAGTTGTAACAAAATTTAGATATCCTTTAGCATCAGATATTCAATGGTTGTTGATAAAAGTTAACAGAAATACAAATGGCCTTTAAAAATATGAAAAAGGTACAATTTTACTCATAAGGGAGGTGCATATTAAAAACAGTAAGATAATATTTTTTAAATCAATTCAAAGGTTTTGAGAACCCACTCCATTGGTGAGACTGTGGGAGGGAGATCCAGCACTCACACACAATGCTAGGTTGAGTGTAAATGGAAGGAATCTGTCTTTCAAAATTACAAATGCAAATGTCATTTGACCCAGCAAACCACTTTATCTTTTAGATGTAAATGCATTTGTGAAAAGACTTATGTCCAAGGTATTCAGGGCAGCACTGCAGTAACAAAACAGAAAAGGAAATCTAAATGTTACTAGGGGACTGGTTAAACTGAAAGTTCCATACAGTGAAACTGCAGGCAGTTGTAAAAAGGAGGAGATTCTCTTCGTATTATTATAACAAACACCCAAAGATACAGTAAGTGAACAAACAATTCAGGACATTAAGTATACCATACTATCTTTTGTGTGAAATGAAGGAAAATATACCTCTGTGTAATTGTATAAAATTCTGCAAAGATTAAAAAAAACTAACTGGTTCTCTACTGGGAGGGGAAGGTGATGGGAATTATAAAGGATACATAGAAATGAGACTTTTTTTCTATTTTTTTTTTTGTATTTGTTTTCAGAATTATGTAAATTGTCACTTGTTCAAAAATAAGGTAAAAAATTCTCCATGCAATTTCAGGTATAGCTTCTTCATTAATAGGTGGTTTGTACTTTTGCATACATTAAGTTCATTTTCACCTCAGTCTCTTAGATCTTAAGTGAAAAAGCTAATGTTTGGGAAATGTGCACTTTAGAAGTTGGCTTTTAACTGTGAATTCCAGTGCTCTCTTGTCTACAGTTATTCATGCTGAAGAGGGCCTCACCATCCATTCAGTGACTCTCTGAGACATCTTTCAATGTAGGTAAAGGTCAGAAATTAGAATTCATTTCTACATTGAGTGTTTTAAAAGTCTGAGGTTTCTTGTGGGGGAGGGTATTCTCAAACACATTTGGGGTATATTTTCAGAGCATGCAAACATCTCCATTTGTCAGTGGTCTCAAAGCAGTAGTAGCTCTCTTCTGTCCCCCGTCCTCTGGGGAGCTCTGTGATGACCAAAGCTATGAGGTTGGGCTGGAGATCACTCTAGCCACAACCTAAATGCCTGGCAAGGACAGGAAATTATTCTGGGAAATAAATATAGGGGTACCATGGAAGATGGGGGGCTTTAAAAAGAGAAAAAGCCAAAGGATTTGGAAGAGAGGAACTGAAGATTGAGGGGGTGTCAGCATGAAGCATTGGATGGGCTGGGAAAGGAACTGATAGAAGGGAGCAAGAGGAGAAAGTCAGGATTTCAACAGACACCACTGGAGATGGCAGAGAGAACAGGGGTGGTGGGAATGAAAGCTGGAGCAGGCACTATGGAAAACAGTATGGAGGTTTCTCAAAAAATTGAAAATAGAGCTACCCTATGACCCAGCAATTGTACTACTGGGTATTTACCCCAAAGATACAAATGTAGTGATCTGAAGGGGCACGTGCACCCCAATGTTTATAGCAGCAATGTCCACAATAGCTAAACTATGAAAAGAGCCTAGATGTCCATTCACAGATGACTGGATAAAGAAGATGTGGTATATATATATACAATGGAATATTATGCAGCCATCAAACCCCCAAAATCTTGCCATTTGCAACGACATGAATAGAACTAGAGGGTATTATGCTGAGCGAAATAAGTCAATCCGATAAAGACAATTACACTATGATCTCATATGTGGAATTTAAGAAACAAACAGAGGATCATAGGGGAAGAGAGGAAAACATAAAACGATGAAATCAGAGAGGGAGATAAACCGTAAGAGACTCTTAATCATAGGAAACAAACTGTTGCTGGAGGGGGGAATGGGGTGAGAGGATGGGGTAACTGAGTGATGGACATTAAGGAGGGTATGTGATGTAATGAGCACTGGGTGTTGTATACAACTGATGACTAACAACTCTACCTCTGAAATTAATAATATACTATATGTTAATTGAATTTAAAGAAAAAAAAAAAAAAGAACAAGGGCCTCAGTGAACAATCACCACTATGTTACTCCTTCCCCTTTTTGATTAGGGTAAAGACCAGACTTGTCAAGAGTATTACTTGAGGTGACTGGGGGAAGTAGGAGTGAACACAAGAACAAAGGGAAATATGAAGCACCGAGGTAGGTGCCAGAACAGCCTGGCTGGTGCTCAGGGAGCTGTAGAGGCGGCTCATCCCCTAACCAGCAGGCTTGAAACTCCATGAAGGCACCTTCCACAGAGGAAGAGCAAAGCCTTTGGGTTGCACTCAAGGCCCGAGGAGGGGTTCCTTCCCCACTTCCCCACACCCCAGGAAGCTCCACAGGTGAAAGGCTGTGTCAGTGGATCAGAAGCTGGCAGTTTCCAAGCCAGCTTCCCATGTTTTCTCCCACACTACTTTTTTTTCTCTTACCTTATTCTCTTCATATCCTCTGTTATATGCCCTTCCTCTACTCACAAAGGTATGTCTGGTGGACCCAGCTCCTGCCTAACCCCAACTGTGCATGCCTCCTCTGGCTCCCCCCACATCTCCAATTATTGTAAATTTGCCTAGGGGGT